GTACGAGGTTTAGAAGTAGTAACCGGGCTGATCATTGAGAAATTTAATACCCTAAGTTAACAGACATAAAGAAACATGTAATAGGCACATTTTATATGTATAACACGCAGACTAAGTAATCAATAAAAGCAGTAACTGTAAGGTTTGAGTTACTAGCCCCTCTGCCGACTATGGCAGAGCACACAGCCCTGTGGTGTCACCCAGTGTGAGTCACTTTCTGTTGAGTTTCAGGGCTGTCTTCCTGCTCAGCTAAGTGTGTTCGTATGTTCTTGTGTGTTCCCATTTTCTACCGAGCTGACCTAGAGTAACTGCTCATTCAATGTTTGTTGAAAGAGAGGACAAATTCATGCTCTGTTTTTCAGTCTGAAGCACCTGAGTAGGAGTCAACAGCCCTGAGTTCTAAAACCCCCTCCACCACTCACTGTATAAGTTCCAGCGAGGCATCCCTCAGCTTTTGAAAACAAAGGACCACATTTATCACTCCTTCCCACGTTAGGATCATGTGACAAAAATACTGGGCTGCCAAATCCCCTTCATTATGCAATCCTATGTAGTTTTCCCTTGAGACAACCAGTGTTAACACCCTAAGTCGATACAATTAAGAGCTGAAAATTACATTTTTATAGCCTATACAATTTATCATTGGTAAATATTCCCCCTTTTAAGAGTGAAAACAGATCCTTGCTACCTCTACATTACTGTACTCAGTCTCCAAGGTGAAAGCAGTCTGGAACCTATCAATGGAGCCTTCTCATTCTAACTGGAAATCTGTAGGGGTTAGGACCTAGGGAAGATAAGGCTGGGACCTGTTGACAGTCTACATCCAACCTATGTATTTATGGATAGTTATTTGTGAAATAGAGAAAAAGTGAAATCAGGGGAAGAAAAAAATGAAAGGAATTTCCTATTTTAGTAGAAGTAAGAGGGATGTGCATTTTTTAAAATCTCAACAACAGGCATTTCCATGCACAACACCAAATTACCAGTCAGACACGACTGAGTGACTGAACAGCAAAAATGAATGAATTACATGGTCCTCTAGAAGGGATTTGGAAAACACACGGTTCTGAACCCCACCTCCTCCCTCCAGCCAAAGGGTCAGGAATCCGTTCTATGGTGTTTCTGACAAGAGGATGACAGCCCGGAATTTGATGAGTGAGGCTGCAGGGCAATGCCTCCCAATGCACGTGTACAGGTGGAAAACTACCTGAATCATTAGCCTTCTTCTCAGAAGATGAAGAGGAAGAGAGGCATAGGCACCTGGGGGCAGGAGGCAAAGCAGAGCCACAAACGCCGCCTGCCTTGCTGGGAGAGGCAGGAAGAAGTACTAAAAAGGCCCCCCTGGGATCTAAAGGGTAAGGCTATGCCCGCAGCACGTCCTGGGTCATCCCCAGGTGCCAAGGAGCTGCTGCAAGACTGGGGGACCTCACTCTGCCTCAGCTGCCCTCTTCATCCCATGGAGATGGCTCTTGTGCTTCATTCAGCTTGAGAAAAAGGAGGCACAGGTACTTTGAAAAGTTTAGAAAGGTATTAAACTATAGTTTCTCAGAAAGGAGTAAAGAGCTCTCTATATTTGAGATGAAAGAGCACTTTTGCATAAAGGCTGAAGTGTGGGTTCCTGGCTGCCTCCTCAGCTCTGTGATGCTCTGACTGCAGGACTGGGGAGGGCAGGTTCTCAAACCCATCACCTCCCCCGTGTTGTTGCTGTGTTCAGAGAGGCAGGCCCGAAAAGTGTACCTTTTCCTGAGAGTAGTGTAAAAAAAAAAAAAAAAAGAAAGTTGCCAAATTGTTCTTCCCTTTAAAATACTAAGTGAGAATAAAAGAACTGAAAAAAAAGGAAGAAGGAAATAATCGAGGAAAATAAAAAGATGAAGGTATACTCGAAAATTTGGAAAAAGAGGAAGGAGGAATAAGAAGAGGAAAGAAGAAGACATCAGACAGAGAAAAAGAGATTTATTGAGGAGAAGAAAAAAGAGAAATTGAGAGCAGATACAGGCCAACTTGAAAAGAAATGGAAGAACGTATTAAAAAAACTGACTTTACTGAGCACAGGAATAAAAAGCAATGCCAAACAAAAGGCAAAAGAAAAAAGCACTAAAATGAAAGAGCTATCAGAAAGGGAAAATGTCATGTAGAGATAAAAGAGATTTTTCATAAATGGGGGTAAAAAAATCCTCCAAGCATTTTTATTTAGTTAGCCAAGGAAGAAAATGAATTCAAGAGGATAGGGAGATAAGAAAAGGAATGACAAACAGTCATATAAGAAATTAAATGATATTAAAGAAGAGACCAAGGAAGGAAGGAGACAAAAGATTCTGGCAAAAGAGAGACTCTTAGATAAGAAATTTTCAACAGCTAAATTATGTTAAAAGCCCTTTACAAACATCATCCTCAATAAAAAGCATGTATTGAAATCACTTTGAACCTGGCAAACACAGGTAGAGAGAACAGAGAGACCCTTTAAAGAAGAAGCAAGACAAATCAGAAAACAAGAGTAGTTAACCTGGAGTTAAAGCTCCAGAGCACACAAATCAGTCTTTTATCCTGTCACCTGACACAGAGAAGGCATTCCAAAAGTCTCTGTGGAATGAATGAATGAACTGAATGAATAAATGAATGAACGGATGGATGGCTCTATGGAGCTTCAGGAGTTTCCTATGTGTCTATGGCTTCTGATGACACAGACACATTCTCTGCTCCCGAATGTCTGTCCCACACCAATGTGGAAGCTCCTCTTCCTCCACTGTCCTATCAGCAAAAATGACGATGCCTGTGATCCACAGTCTACTCCTCAGGAGGTCATCCCAGGCCTATTTGCCATTAGCAGGGGAGAAGGGAAATGGTAAAAGTTTTAAACTTTGCAAAGCATTTCTAGAATAGCTCATTTTAACCCTGGCCAGTTGAGCGAGACAATATGATTATCTTTCATTAACATCAACTTTGAGAAGTCTAGTAGTTATTTTAATGACCCCAGAAAAAGAGAACAATATAGGTTATGAGATCAGTTCGGTTCAGTTCAGTCGCTCAGTCGTGTCAGACTGCGACCCCATGGACTGCAGCACGCCAGGCGTCCCTGTCCATCACCAACTCCCGGAGTTTACCCAAACTCATGTCCATTGAGTGAGTGATGCCATCCAACCATCTCATCCTCTGTCGTCCCCTTCTCTTCCTGCCCTCAATCTTTCCCAGCATCTGGGTCTTTTCAGATGAGTCAGTTCTTTGCATCAGGTGGCCAAAGTATTGGAGTTTCAGCTTCAACATCAGTCCTTCCAAGGAACACCCAGGACTGATCTCCTTTAGGATGGACTGGTTGGATCTCCTTGCAGTCCAAGGGACTCTCAAGAGTCTTCTCCAACACCACAGCTCAAAGCATAAATTCTTGCGCTCAGCTTTCTTTACAGTCCAAATGTCACATCCATACATGACCACTGGAAAAACCATAGCCTTGATTAGATGGACCTTTGTTGGCAAAGTAATGTCTCTGCTTTTTAATATGCTGTCTAGGTTGGTCATAACTTTGCTTCCAAAGAGTAAGTATCTTTTATTTCATGGCTTCAGTCACCATCTGCAATGATTTTGGAGCCCCAAAAAACAAAGTCTGTCACTGTTTCCACTGTTTCCCCATCTATTTCCCATGAAGTGATGGGCCTGGATGCCACGATCTTAGTTTTCTGAATGTTGAGCTTTAAGCCAACTTTTTCACTCTCCTCTTTTCACTTTTATCAAGAGGCTCTTTAGTTCTTCTTCACTTTCTGCCATAAGGATGGTGTCATCAGCATATCTGAGGTTATTGTTATTTCTCCCGGCAATCTTGATTCCAGCTTGTACTTCCTCCAACCCAGCGTTTCTCATGATGTACTCTGCATATAAGTTAAATAAGCACGGTGACAACATACAGGCTTGACGTACTCCTTTCCCTATTTGGAACCAGTCTGTTGTTCCATGTCCAGTTCTAACTGTTGCTTCCTGATAAGAAGAGTTAAATCGTAATGTCTTCTGACACCTGAATGAGAGAGATTTCAGAACCACTGTGGATGGAGACAATTTAGCTTCACTCAGGACATCTTTGAAAAAGTAAGACATTAGTTGGGTTTTAAAATTTGGGGAAAAAAAAACCAAACAGGGCTTGAGGATATTAGACTAGGGAATGGAAAACACACACGCATGTGCACACACAATTACACTTAAAGCAGAATTCTAATGCCACTTAAGTGGCCTTTTGAATGAGGACCCCAAAACTCCTTTCATTTCAACTATTTTCATAATAAAATCTACTTCCTATCTAACAAAGCCTACTACTAAATTTAAAAGCTTTTTTTCTTTTAAGGGCTACCCTTTATAAGGCAAATATTTGATAAACCTAGGAAGACACTAGGCAATAATTTAAAATGATGCATATCAGTCTTAAAGTTGAAATTATACAACTGCAAAGGATAGTTAAAAATAAGAGTTTGTATTGCAGGAAGTAATCCTAAGACCTGGGGAATTTTTCATCATTTACTTGAGAGCCAGAAAAGCAAGGCCAAGAAGTATGACCAGGCTTCAGAAAAGCAAATCAGAACTAGACAAATATGTTTTTTATGTCAGTCCAGATATTTTCAAGTTGCATATTAAGTATAGCATTTTTAAATAAATGTATTTAAAATTATGACATGGTTGGACTTCCCTGGCAGTCCAGTGGTTAAGACTCTGAGCTTCCAAAGCAGGGAGTACAGGTTTAATCCCCGGTCGTGGAACTAAAACCTCACATGCCACACAGTGCAGCCAAAATTTTAAAAAAGTGAAAAATAAAAGTAAATAAATAAAATTATGGCATAGTAAGCTGTCTTTGGGGGCTTCCCAGGTGGCGCTAGTGGTAAAGAATCCACATTCTAACGCAGGAGATATAAGAAATGCCGGTTCAATCCCTGAGTTGGGAAGATCCCCTGGAGAAGGGCATGGCAACCCAATCCAGTCTTCTTGATTGGAAAATCCCATGGGTGGGAAACCTAGCTAGCCGCATGGCTGCGGGTTGCTCAGTGGCTCCGCGACCGAAGGCGGCCTCAGAAGGGCCGGCCGGCATCTTGCCTTGCCTAGAATTGCCTACCTACGCGGCTGCTTGTGCGCTTGTGAATAGCCGCTACTCCTGCCTGGTGGCGGGGCCGCACCGAAGACACATCGCCCTATCGCCCTGCTATCTTTACAGGAAACGCACCGGTATTCGAGAACAGCTCAATGCAGAGCTCCTGCGCTATTCCGAGAGCCTTTTAGGTGTACCCATTGCTTATGATAACATCAAAGTAGTGGGTGAATTAGGAGATATTTATGATGATCAAGGACACATTCATCTTAACATTGAAGCAGATTTTGTTATTTTCTTCCCTGAACCAGGGCAAAAACTTATGGGTACAGTTAATAAAGTGTCCTCCAGCCACATCGGCTGCTTGGTCCATAAGTGCTTCAATGCCTCCATCCCTAAACCTGAGCAGATGCCAGCTGACCAGTGGCAGACGCTGCAGATAAACGTGGGTGATGAACTAGAATTTGAAGTATTTCGTTTAGACTCAGATGCTGCTGGAGTATTCTGCATTCGGGGAAAACTAAGTATGACTAGTTTACAAACCAAGTGCTCTGCAGTTCCTGAAAAAGCACCAGAAACTGGCGCTGATGTACCTGTCGAAAAACCTCCAAAGAAGAATAAGAAAAAGAAGAAAGACCTAGAGCCATGTGAAGCGGAAGGCAGTACCACAGAGCAAGCAGAATTTGCAGATGTTACCATGAAGGACGAGACAGACCTGCAGGTTAGTAACAGTGTGAATGGCCTCTGGGAGGGAGAGCAGAAGAAGAAGAAGAAAAAGCACCAGGAAGGTCGGGACCAAGAGCCTGTTTTCCAAGGCAGTGACTCCAGTGGTTATCAAAGTGACCATACAAAGAAGAAAAAGAAAAGAAAGAGTGAGGAGGCTGAACTTACACCACTCGTGGAACATGCACCTAAAAAGAAGAGGGAAAAATAATTTTCTTTTGTGTGTTTTAAATATGATTTGGTTTTTTAAAGAAGATTTATACACAGTAGATGACTAAAGTTTAATTAAGAAATGTTTTGTATTGCAGTATTTTGCCTAACAGGGAACATTTTGATTAGTTGAGTTTGGGGTACTAAAATTAATTTGGGAAATATCAGTATTATTAAAGTGCCATTTATTGTATACAGAATAGAAAGGGAAGAACTGCCTTCATTCTTCCAGTGGATACATTCTAAATAAAATGGTTTCTACAGTCCCAAGACTAACAAAATGACTTTTGTAATATGGTGATAGAATGTATATCAAAAAGAATGAGTTTTGAGCTTGGGTGGTGGTTGTTACAGGTTTTGAATTTAGTCATGATGTTACATGCCATGTCATTAGGCTTTGTTTAAAATTTAAATCATTTACCAGTTTTAGGTTTTTTGTTTGTTTGTTTGTTTGTTGTTTACCTTGGGATGGTTTGTCAGAGGCATTTCTGAAGTTTTCAGAGCTTTATAAACTGCCCTCTTCAGAACCATAGCCCTGCCCATGGATCACGAGTTAGGAGACAGTGCTGTTCTTTCTTCTCTGTGCATGTGTGGTGTGTTCTTTTCTCTCTCAGAGGAAGAGTCTGATGAAGACAGGATAAAGGTGATTCTGACTAGTGGGGAATTTCCCTATTTTTAATAACTGAGTTAAGCTACTAGAAATTATTATGAAAACAGTTATTCACTGCTTTCACTGAGAAAATGTGGAATATGTCTTAACTATTGGAAAACACTGAAGAATGAACGGACCAGTGAGTTCGGCCTGATAATCAGTGCAAGATTGTGTTCATTCATTCAACAAAATTCCATGTATTTGTGTTACACATAGTAGACCATCATTCTAAGATCAGGGGTATGATGGCAAACAAGGCAGAAATGATTCCTTCCCTCATGGAATGTCATAGGAGAGACAGATGCACCCATACAATATAAGTAAGAAAAGACTGAGAATTGCTAATGCTGGTAAGTTCTAAAAGAAGATTCTCTCTTCCCACTGCTGTGATCCACGGCAGCCCCTTTCAGCTGCCATTTATCTAGTATCAGATGCAGTACTGCTCTTACTCTGTTTAATGTCTGTACCAATAGAAGAGAGAGCTGCGAGAGTCATTCATGATGTTTGTCTATAAGCAGATGTGCCCGACAGTAGAAAGGGGTGAGCCAGTGTCTTTTCTTACCATTAAGTTCATGTGGCTATTTAGCCCTCACAATGAACCTAGTCCGATTTGAGATGAGGTGTCAGTGTAAAACATATCAGACTTTGAAGATGTACAAAGAAAGAATGCAAAATACCTCAGTTTTGTATGAGATTGTAATATTTTGGTATAGTGGAGTAAATAAAATATTAAATTGGCAAAAAAAAAAAAAAGAAAATCCCATGGACAGGGGAGCCTGGGGGGCTACAAGTCCATAGGGTCGCACAGAGTCAGACATGATTGAAGCAACTTGGCACATGCACACACATATAGTCTATCTTCATTTTAAATGGTCAAGAAATCCATTAGATAAGTACCATAGACTTGTCCTTTTAAAAATATATAATATTAAATTAGGAAATACTTTAAATAGAATTTTAAAGAGTTGTTCATACTAATGGAATTAATTATGGAAGGTATCATGTATACTATCAAGTTTCTTCTTTGTTTGAGAATAAAGGATTTCCTTTCACATCTGCTTTCTTCAGATCTGAAGAATTCCAGTTGTTGAGAGAGCTAGTGGTATACTGTTCCTACCCTAACTTTAAAAAGTGAAAATATTAATATTAGTTTCTAAAGTGAATACAATTATTTAGTTTATGTAGTATGACTCATTTTCTAAGCTTGTGCTACTGGAAATGGATATTATTATTCTCTTCAATCGAGCAGAGTTTAAGTTCAGATTCACATACAAATCAGGGTCACAGAATCACAAGTGAAGATGGTTTATATAAGAACAGAATAATAGAATGTTCTTGTAATTGGAAGGAACCTTGGCAATCATCAAAGGTGCTTAATAAATATGTCAATTGGAAAATGTTACTTATAATGAAAAAAATGAATTTTGAAAAACACTGTCAGCTATATGTGAATCCATCTTAAGCATTGGCTATTTTCATCAATTCCTATTTAAGTGGTCAAACTGGGTTTTTGTTGTTGTTGTTTTGCTGTATAAGATAAAGCAGAACTAGGCAATAATGTGACCAAGCGTCTGAGTGAATTTTTGCTGTTGAATCCATTGCTAGAAATCACTCTTCAGTGATTTGAGGAAACTTTTAATGAGACCTGTGAGGATAAAAGATCAGAAGATGAGCATAAGAAAGTGATTCTGCAAATGCAATGCAGTTAGGTTGAAATGGGTCAGAAACACTGATATACTGACCTACCTGAGAAGTAAAACATCCCATGCAACTTTCTCATCAACTGTGTAAGAGCTCCTTAGGGCAGTCTTTTGTTGTCTCTCAGTCACTCAGTCATGTCTGACTCTTTGCAACCCCATGGACTGCAGCACACCAGGCTTCCTTGTCCTTCACTATCTCCCAGAGTTTGCTCAAACTCATGTTCATCGAGTCGGTGATGTCATCCAACTATCTCATCCTCTGTCGCTGCCCTCTTCTCCTGCTGCCTTTAATCCTTCCCAGTATCAGGGTCTTTTCCAATGAGCCGGCTCTTTGAATTAGGTGGCCACAGTATTGGAGCTTCAGGTTCAGCCTTTCCAGTGAATATTCAGGACTGATTTCCTCTAGAACTGACTGGTTTGATCTCCTTGCAGTCCAAGGGACTCTCAAGAGTCTTCTCCAGCACCACAGTTCAAAAGCATCAATTCTTTGGCACTCAGCCTTCTTTATGGCACTCTTTAATGCTACATAAAAAGTGTTTGTCAAAGAAACCCTGGTGTACTAGAAGGTTGTAAGTGAGGAGCTAACTCTCAGAAGCGATTTTGGTTATAGTAGATGACCATAGGATTGAGTGAAAAGTGCCACAGGTCCTCAGATCGCTTTCTCTGCTGAAATTCACTCATTCAGTCATTCTTTTGGCTAATGTAACACATATTTATGGTGACACCAAGGGATTTGTTAGGCAATACTTATATCTTCATGATCATTCTATCATTTTTTTTTCCATTGAAAGAGAAATAAGTAAGTTGGTACAGTCACCCCATACTGGGAAGCCAAACTATATTTATTTATATTATTTTATCATTTTTGGCCTAGTTGGATATGTCTGCTTCCTGTTTGGGTAGTGACTAGAACATACTGACAGATGTGGAAGTATGATTCAAAGCTCAACCAGGGCAATTTTTCCAAAATATAATTGAAGACTGTGTTCAAGCCTGGCATATACATAGACACCTGCTTTATTTGCATAGCCCAAGCTTGCAGGAAGTTTTAATCAATCATTTTCCGTGTGTAGAATTATCCACCCAGAAAACCATTACTTATTTCACCAGAAAAAAAAAAATTGTTTTTCTTTGCTGCTGCATTAGTTTCATCCTACCTCCCTCCCCTCCACCAGCAAAAAGAAAAGAAAAAAAGTTTATGTCAAAATATATGGATTAATGTTCCAGCTCATGTACAATCTTGGCTTATTTTTAAATCTCCAAAAGGTAGATTCTGCCACTTCTTTTGCCAATAAGCATGAAAATTCTATCTTCTGTCACATACCTCTTCATTTTTATTTACTGAATGTTTCTCACTGTGCCAGGTGCTAGGAAACTAGTAAACAAAAGGTGACAAATGTTGATTAAATAATCACAAAAAGCATGAATTACAAAACCTGATAGCTGTAGAAGGTGCTACATGAAAGGATGAAACAGGGGAATCTTATATAATCGTAGGACTGAGGTGGTGATAGGTCAAGAAAGCAGCACTATTTGAGCTGAGAGTTTAGTAAATGTACATCATTGTTGTTGTTTAGTCGCTAAGTAGTGTCCAACTCTTTTGCAACCCCATAGACTGTAGCCCACCAGACTCCTCTATTCATGGGATTTCCCAGGCAAAAATATGAGCTGCCATTTCCCTTTCAGAGGACCTTCCCAACCCAGCAGAATTTGGGAGGGAGGGACAAGAGGGAGAGGAGAAAGTTACAGACAAACAAAAACATGTGCAAAGGCCCTGGGGTGAGAGAGAGAGAGAGAGAGAGTGCACATTGAAGAACTGAAAGGCTTGAGAGAATGTAACACAGAAAAAAATTGAGAGGGTTGAATTAACAGAGGCTGGAAGGAGCTGGACCCAACGTATCTGTGTCTTTGCAGACCTCCTAAGGAGTTTGATCTTCAAAAACAACTATAAGCCATTCAGTTTTCCAGAGTCACATTTTTAATAGCTCATCCTGTGTACAGTGAATTAGAGTGAGGAGGCCTTTCAGATCTGTTGACCTCAAACAGGTGACAGGAGTAGCTGCTATAAGGGTACCAGTGAGTTAGATAAGAGTGTATGCATTCTGGAGACATTCAGGAGGTAAAACCTACAAGAATTGGTTTTGTTAAATAAATACATGAATGTATTAATGAATCAGTCCTCAAAATAGTTCACATTTATTTACTCTTCCTACTTGCCACATTGACTGAATTTTTAAAAATTCTCCATACAAATGGTAATTTTTAAAAAGAGAAGGGAAAAGTACATCCAATATTAGTGTTTTATGAAAAAAAGGCATGAGTCTTTATATCTTATGAGCCTTATTTCAGGTTCCAAATAGTCTTTAATTCAGTTATTTTTCCCCCTTTGAATATTTTTGCTAGAGACTTTCCCAAGTTTCTAATTTATTCCCTACACTTATTAATATGTAAATGTTAACAGCCTTCAATTTATAAGCCAAGCTACAGATCACTCTTTTTTAAAGTGTGTTCCCCAGAATCAGCCTTTGTGGAAGTAATAGCTCTTACTTTTTTTTAAAGAGAGTAATTTAATTATTTTTGACTGTGCTGGGTCTTTATTGTTGTCCAAGGACTTAGTTGCTTGGGATGTGGGATCTTCCCTGACCAGAG